TTACATAACGTCACTGACTAACCAGAAGGTTATGTCTAAACATCACACTGGCGTAAAGCTCTGGATGTGGAACCGGAAATGTATAGAAATCCGAATGTCAGGACTTTAAAAACAATTCGGATACTATAGCTATACTTTGTTTACTCCGACGCGAATTCATGTAAACATTTGAACATTGTCTCCAAACCCGGAAGTCCTCTAAAAATCATTAGTCAATAAGTGGTCTTCGATTTCACTGAAGTAACAACAGAACACTTAAGACGTATCAAGACCTTGGTTAAAAAACGCTGACAAATTTAGGACGTGTCGAGGAAACAAGTATATAATAGTGAAAAACTTTATCTCTTAGTCAAATTAGTTAGTGTACTGATTTTGCATAATTTTTCTGGTTAGCGTTTTTTTAGCGAGTTAGTTTTCTACGGGATGGGGACGCTAACCCTATGCCCAACCCTCCTCCTTTATCCGGGCTTGGGACCGGCAGTAACCCCCGGAGGGACTCCAGGCGGAGTTACTGATTTTGCATACTATATACAAATACCGTTTATCTATTCACTAAACTATTGAGATATGCAACTTGATATTGCTGACTGAGGAAATCTTAGCACAATTTAGAATTTTGATTAGCTTCTGGCAACGTGTGGAGTAGGCGAGGTGCCTGTCCGTTAACTAAAGGGCTAGTATACTGTGTTAGTGTTCGTCCGGTTGTTCTTCCTCATGAAAGTGAAACTTAGTGTCTAAAAAGGTAGATATTCGCAGGCTACTAGTATTTGATAATAAGTGTCATCGAACGATTTCTTACGTATTTTTATAACACCTAGCATGTAACTCCGAATGAGATGGTTCTCAAACGAACACAGCAATGCCTGGCAAGCGCAATAAGATCAACAAAGACCTGGTATTGAGCCATGAAGAAATACAGTCAGATGCGCCTCCTGATATACGGCAAGTTTCTTTCGATATATCTTCATGTCATAGCTCTAATACTAGATTAGTAAGTAGGTACATCAAAATTAGCTCTAGCATCACCTTAGCAGATTTAAAAGAAAAGCAGTTGAGGAAAAGACAACTATTAGAGATTTTAAAGATAAGCAGCTGTTGCGCCTTCAGAGAGGGTTGGGGTCGTTATGGCTAAAAGAGAATATATGTAGTAAAGTATCTTCTGCCTCCAGCTGTGTCGACAGAAGACGGGAGTATGTTCAGAGTTCCGCGAGTCGTTCTCATGTCATTAGAATCAAGTTCCCAGAAAAGCGAAATCTGTTAGACTACCCACGAACGAAGAATAGGGAAGTGACCTTGACATCTCTAGGTGTGGGTCTTGAGCTCCCAAAGGTAGAACTAAGTAATTCTGATGGGCGACCAGCCAAATACAGGAAATTCATCACAGCTCGAGTTATATGTGGTATCCAAGGTCGAAGACGATGGTCAACGGCTCTTTATCTTGTTACATTATTGTAAAGGCTCGAGAGGACATAAAACGATGCATAATGCTTCCACCATCATCGGGTTAACGTAGAGCATGCGATATACTGAAACGGTTGTTTAGTAGAACACACGAAATTGGGCTTTGTTTAAAGATCCAAATATAGAGCCATGAAACGCAAGGCTGATGTAGCCGGGAGAAAGCTAGAGGTGAACAAACCAAAACGTGAATACATTCTCCGTTGGACTAAGAGATAAATGTAGTCATTACAATTTCGCCGCCATAGGACAGTTCGATTTAACTTGGTGCTTCTTAGTATTTTGACTATTTACACAAATCAAAATGGGTCTCACGGGATCACACTACAGGGAATCAGATAGATCATATTTGCATCAATAAACAATTCAGAAGGTCAATGGAAGACATGAGAATCAAGAGAACTGACATACCTTCAGACCACCACTTGGTTGTGGCCAAGATAAAAGTGAAGCTAAAGAACCACTAGACCACTGGAGTGACAGCATTACAAAGGTTCAGCATAGCCTTCCACCGAGAGACTGACAAACTCGACGAATCCAAGACAGCTCTTAACAACAGGTTCCAAGCCCTGCAAGATCTACTCAAAGATCGCTGAATATATAGAGATAAATGTAAACACACTCCACGTTCTGTTCAAAAATGTTTTGAAGAACAAGTGCTAATAGACTGAAAAGAGATATACCTCGTCAGGCATGTTCGACTACACATTTTTGAAGCATCACACTAAAATGGTGGAATCGCTAAGTAAAGTGTGTATTTGGGAACAGAGTTTTAGGAAGAAACGGGAAACCAAGGAAATGGATAACTTGCACCAATGTATTAAATTGGTAACTGTATGTTGGCGTACTGTTTGGAATAGACTATTAGGTGAAAATCTGTGGGATTATGGTGAACTACGGTCGAAAATTGAAAGTCAAAAGCTCGATAGTAACTCATTCCTCGTTCTACATAACCTAAAAAACACTGTCATGCACAGTCATCGATAACGAATTCCATAGTGCTAACTAAAACGGATACGGAGTTGTGTCTGGTCCCATGTTGAGTACGAGTGATATGACGCCTCACACTACTCGTACAGAGGATGGTGCTTCCACAAATAGTTTCAGTTTGACGGGTGACAAGAACAGTGAGCATCCCGTTGTTTGAGGGTGTGTTTAAAAAGATCACATCAATCAATCATTCGATCCTTCAGCGGCTTTACGAGGTGTGACCCATGACTTCTAATTTGATCACCCAAATCTACAATCGTAACACAAGCTAAAGAACTCGGAACTTTCTAGCAAGTTAGTTATTAAACACTCATCTAAGTTTAGGATTTAAATGCTGCATCAATACAGAAAAGAACCATACGACAAACTAGATAATTAAAATTGGTTGGTCGAAACTGCACCAAACTTTTCGAGACACACTTGCATGTCAAGCGGTTAGCGCCACGCCAATTCCACTAAACACACATAGCAACTCGATCGACAGAACTCTAACGCGCCTAGGAGTACATGAAGATGACATCAGTGACAAATCAACTGAACAAAGGAAACGTCATTACCATCTTAACTAATATTATTTGACCTATATTCTCGGCCGCTTTAGGATTCTAAAGACAACTAGGGATGTGATAGACTATCTTTTCACCTTCAGATTGCAGTATTTAATATAATACATTTACTAAGTTTGTCCAGAGAACAAGGAGTTATGGATAAATTTGTTTATTTGAAGTCCAAATGAATAATTAATACAATAAATGAAATATTATTTCGAAACTTTAATATATAAGAAATCGACAACTATCGATGACGAGATGCGTCTTATCATTCTGACGAAAACTATTGTCCTTCATAACCCGTTAATATAACGTGGCAAAATGAACAGTAATCCAGTTTGGGAAAGTGTGGAACCATTGGACGCCTTAGAATTGAGACCCGATGCTAAGAATCGATTTTATGGTCGCTCAGCATCATCATCAGACTATTCCGGACTAACATACATTCAGAGAGATTACTGGGGAAAATCTGTTCTTTCCCGGCAATACATACTTGGATGTTAGACATATACCGGGCAGAATCTCAGTGTTGCTAATTAACCACTTTATTGCGAAATGTCTTTAGATTATCAGAAACTGTAACGATACAACAAATATGAGACGATGAATAATCAACATCTTCCAGCCGATTTACTGTGAATCGAACTTAAACGTAGGCTGAGGAATATATGATACAAATGTGCGGGTGTTTATAGACTCGATTACACACCCTGAGTCGATGTAAGATTCGGACGGCATCAAACTATACATGAATTCGGTTGTTGGAGTAGACGAACAACAGGTTCCCCCATAAATATAGATAGTATTACTTAGCCTATCCAACTGGAACTTATGAGGGTTCAATTAAATGTTTGACTTTAACATGGTTGTTGAACTTTTGAGGCACCCGTCAAGACCTAGTGATCGGTTAAGATAAATTCACAGCTTGCACATGAAAACTCAATTCTCTTCAGAAAAACGTTTGATTAATTGACACTTTCATCAAGTGATGAAAGATCTACTTATGAAGGAAAAATTCTAAACACACCTGAAGGTACTCATTTTTACGACTAGAACAAAAAATAGCTCTCTAGTCCGATGAATACTTGCGACGCCACATAGTTCCGACTTCGTTTGTGTAAAAAAGCTTGCATATATGCACGGAATAATCTTACGACTTCGTAGAGTACAGCACCTCATGTAATGTAGGATAAAATTTTTGTAAGTAGACGCGCACTGAAGGCTAGTGTCATTGTCGAATGTCAGTGTGAAAACGCCGTATGACATATAAAGGGTCTTGACGGTTTATTCAAGCAAGTATTTTAAAAACCCACAAGTTGTTGTTGACAAACGTGGCAGGAGCAGTAATCAGCACGAGACAGTGACATGGCATTTTGACAGAGCACGATGTTCTTACATGAAGGCCATCTCTGGAAATCAGCTGCGGACGTTGACAAATAGACACATACTACCTATAATCAACAAGATTTGCTAGCCTAAATAAAAAGTTGTATGAAACGTGAAGCAACGCGTAGAGACCAGACGAGGTAGACTACAACTAACGCAAAAGCAACGATTTCTAACACAATTTATATTTCAAAAAAGATAAATGGGAAATTTGGACGGTCTCTTATGACGCATAAAAACGAGAAGTCACATTTACGACTGAAAGTGAATTGATGTCTACAAACGCAAAAGCCAGAAGATCGTGGGTACGACTGCTGACACTAGCCAAATAACGTTGATGCGAACGATGAACAGGAAACGAGTTATAAATGCAAACGTCTCTTGCCTACGTGATTCGAGGTTGCTTCGCGTTTGACTTCACGGGACGACTCTGAAATGTTAGGTAAACTTGAGTTATGGGGAACGAAAAATTGGACGTTATGTCAACGCACAGATCTAGGCTGCGGGCAAACGAGAAGCACGTTTACTAAGCAACTTAGACGACCACGCACGCACAAACTCTCAACACTTGGATTAATACATTCTGAGTAGCTTATCATAAACCACTTACTTTAGTTAGGGACGACCGTAGTTGTACCTTGATAATTAGTTGTTATTAAGTAATTATAAACGCCTACCCTGATCTTGGTGGAACCGGTGATCTGCTATCCATCCCATAGTCATAGTAACTGTAATCGTATCCCGAATCGTAATTAGACATTGATCTATCGTTATCTCTGTAGTCTCTGAGGTGGTTAATGTTTTAAAAAAGAGCCTACTCGTAGTTTCCGCTGCTATAGCTGCCGTATGTATCATAATAATCGTTTGCACGTGGAGGACCTGATGGTGCTATTGGCTCCCGGTAGCGGTCAAATTCACCGTACACATCGTAACTTTGTCTGATTGGGGGAGGTTTTGGAGGATAATCTCGAGACGATGGTATAGGCTCAGGGACTGGAGGCCCACGATATCCCACATTAGGTGGTAGCGGCATTGGGTCACGGGCTGGACCGCGTGGGAGTGGTCTGTGTTGTTCTCCACGGTCAATTGGCGGATACCTCCCATTGGCACCGTTTGGGGGATAATCGTAACCTAAATGATTATAGATTTATAGCGCATATATTACCTCTAGAGCTGTTACGTGGTGGTGGTCCGTAGGGCCCTCCATACCCATCATCCCAAGCCGGACCATAACGTCCCATTCGCGGGGGAGGTGGGCCGGAATTCATGTAACGTGGTGGTGCACGTGGTCCCCTTTCCGGCGGATAATCCCGATAACGCCCTTCATTCCTACGTCTAGTAGGCCCGGGACCACCACCTCGTTTACCGTGGCTGCGTTCAACATTAATTTTCACTCCATCAAGAATGGCATTTTGGAGTCCTTCTATTGCAGCTTCAGCCTCAGACTCTTTTTCCATATGCTTAGAAAATTGGTTGGAAAACTATCACAACCTACCACGAAGCCATAATTATTAACAACATCACATTCCGTAACCTTCCCAAAGGCTTCAAATTTTTTGCGGAGATCAGAAGCTTTGGATTCTGGATTTAGGTTCCCAACGAATATCTTCACCATGACAGCGAAAAATGAAACCAAGGTCTAATGGTTGGCGAAACAACGACGGTTTTAACAATAACTGGAAAAGTAAAACAATAATCCAAAACATGCATCTTGTTAATTTAGTAGTAAGGAACGCCGTTTGTAGTCTTTATCTCATCTTTTTTCTAAGCATTTTTAAATGGCAGTTTATACTCAGCCGTCACATACAAGTGACATCTATGAGTGCTCTAACACGTGTCTCGAGTGTAAATTTAAGCTCTGAACTGGTTTACCAGACATTTCGGCACATATATGAGTACATATTTTTCTCAGACGTGCTCTACCCTACTTTGAGGAGAAGAGCGGTTTCAAATATTGTAACAGCTCTCAGGATACTTTTCTCTCATCTGCAAAGCCAAGATGCTGCTAAAGATAATCGGCAAATGGCATGTACCTCACTAGTTTTCGATGGACTCTGAATTATTAAATCTGAAGGCTACAAAGCGAATTCGTGCCTCATGATACCCTGAAAGATTTCTGAATCTCGAGCATATGACAACCCGCACGACTATATGTCATCCATATATTTTCCACTTCACTATCAATATGATGACCACAGAGTGCAAATATAACACATACTAAAAGTATTTGTGACATAACTATCTTTTGAAGACTTCATCGGGATCATTATGCATGCTTTATGGGGAACCTCATCTTGAAATTTTACTATTAAAAAGATCCAAATAATCCATAAGTGTAGAGGAGGAATAGTAGCTCTATTCTGTAGAAATACTTTGCCATTTACAGTTATCGATAACGTACCCTATGAACCTCGAACGTGGAAATTAGTTAGTTGCCACTTGAAATAAAAACGACAAGAGCTGCTGACTGGTTTGGTCCACCGCAGTTCAAACTGAGGTGAGTGAGGTCTTGCTAGTCAGTTTTGATACTTGGTCATAAAGTGGTCGATGTTTAATCTTATGAGACTTTATCTTATTAACGTCAGACTGGAAAAACCCGGGGATCGGGTTGCCAGAAAAACATCCCGAACACAAAGTAGCTGACACTGTTATCACATGTCCTCTAGTGTAAATTGTGAAACAATTAGATACCACCGGGACTCCGAATAGTCCTTACCAGATCTAATATTGACCTGCTGTGATATTGATGACACAAACCTTCAAAATATGCTACCTCTAGGCATTCAGTTCTAATCTTTGGTTTCTTTATAGTTGTCACAAACTCTTGTCTTGCAAAAACTCTCCAAGTATGTGGAAACGCTTTAAAGAACTTACAGGTGACATACAGATTAGGAGCGATAACCAGCTGAATGTTTGTGACTCAAATAAGTCTTTTGTACGCCAGTTATCTGATGTGATGCTCCCTCTATCCACGGGTTTAAATAATAGCTGTGTTCCTACTTTCACTGAGACTGATGGACGAATATGTCTTCAGTAGCTTAATTCATTTCAATGTTGGGACCTGATGGTATTCCAAACATCCTTTTCAAAAAGTGTGCTGACGTCCTATGTTATCCGTTCACAACTATCTTTAACAGATCCTTCTCATCTAATCTCATACCGAAAATGTGGAGAAAGATGAAGATAATCCCTCTACTTAAGAAAGCATCTGGTGATAAGAATGTAAAATTTAGACCTATTGCAATAACTCCACCCTTCCTCAAAACAATGGAAAAATTATTAATACTTCCACTTCAGCCTGGATAAAAGAGCATATTGATCCATATCAGTTTGCTTACAGACGCAGAAGAAGCACTTTAGATGCTGTTGTTGTTCTGCATCACAACATAATGTTCAACTTAGAAAAGGGTCAGAAGTATGTTCGATGTGCTTTTCTGGACTATACTTCAGCTTTTGATTCTATACCACGACAACGTTTAATTAACAAGTCAATCAGCGTCAACACTGACAGCTGGATAACCAACTGGCTATGTTCCTACCTCTCTGAAAGGGAACAGTACACTGTGTTTGGAGGAAAGTGCTCAGAGTCTCTACTATCTCATGAAGGTGTACCACAAGGAGCTGTTCTTTCACCTCTTCTTTTCTCTTTTTTCTCCATGATCTGCCATCTTCCACAGAAAACACTTTTGTGAAATATGCGGATGATCTCACTGTATGTATGCTCATCTCTTCCTCTTTACATCCCATAGAAATGAATGAGTTTTTGTCTCGTATTGATTGTTGGTCTGTTGGTAATGGTCTTATACTTAATCCGTCTAAATGTCAAGCTGTTAACTTTAGCGTGAGACATGAACGGAATCTAAACACCAATTTGAGATCCCGTAATACTTGTACCATCGGAGACTCTTTGATAAACTCAGTGTCGAAGGTCAATTATGTTGGTGTCACCTTTTTCTCTGATCTGTCTTGGTCTTCCCACGTTTTATTGTTGTCAAAGAAGGTTTTCCGTTTGGCCTACTACATAAAGAGACTGCATTCTCTTGGGATTACTCGTCATTTACTCTTACAATTTGTCGATTTTTGCATATTACCTATTATTCTTTACTGTTCTCCATTATTCTTTCCCGGACTTTTGAGGAAAGACTTTGTTGATTTGCGGAGAGTGCTGAAGGCAATTGGCAAGATGTGTGGTGAATCTTTCGAGGTCATAATTAATAGAGTTGTGGATAGACACTTAAAATCATGCAAACTCCTGGCAGGTGTTATTTTATCAGATACTAGCCATCGCCTTCACTCTTATCTTTCTCCTTGTATATCTTCTGGTAGAACGAGACGTAATTACATTAAAATCCATGCACGCAAGCAAAAGTATAAAAGTTTTATAATACCATATCTAGCAAATATACTATGTGACGAACAGGTTGTTAGAGTTAACCTAGTAAATAACTTGCATTATTAACATGTCATTATTTTAAAAGTTGTACAGTTTTTCGGGTTTTTTCCTTTCTTTTTAAAAAAAGCCTTTTTCATTTTTTTGTATTCGTCACTGTGTGTTTTTTATTGTTGCGTAACTTGCTGAAATAACCTGTGCTGAGAATTCTATATTGTACCAAAATATAATATTGAATAAAGCCACTAAAAATAAAAATGATAACCTAAAGTCTGGAGGGCGAATATACAAGGTACCATACACTCAGCATCCGCAGTAGATTAGTAAATGGAGCCAGCGTCCTCAGTTTTAACGTCCTGAAATATATTTAGAAATTCGTACACAAACGTCACTGCACCCAACGTCTTTTAGACTACACTGAGGGGTCCGAGAAACTCCCCACTGTGCACTGATAAATAAGTTCACACCCCTCTCTGTAAGAGAATTCGGTCACGGTATACTTGTAGAATTATGATCCACTATGATATTAGTACTGCCCTAATAATAGACCTAATCCTAAAATTGTAGATTTATCATGATATAACTGCCTAATCTATAAGATCTTACGTGGAAGTCACACCATCGACTACACCAACTCACTGTATCGTATCAATTACCAATACATGATGTAGAACAAGGTTAGGCTAGAGAAGGAACAATATATTTAATATGAATAGAAGATATAAGGTAACATTCAGCAGAGACCACGCCTGCATGGCCGAGCCATGCCATTCGATCAACCCCAGTCCATCCAATTCATTGTTCGCGCCTTCTCCATCGTTAAGTGTTTATCCGCGTTAAATACTGAATATCTATTTTCTGAGTAGTCTCGTGTTCACAGCTTTGTGGATTGTGCGGTTATTGTCCAATGCCACTACACTACTCTCCCACCAGAATCAACGTGATGTTGGTTCGATACCGAATTGGATGGGATTGTCGCGCGCCGGAGGTTACCAAGAATAGGTAGAATCCTCCGGATATTGATAAGCTGAAAGATAAATCAAAAAGAATGCGGCAGCATCTGGTCGGGAAATACATATAATAGTTATAAAATATCTGCCTTCATGCTTAACACGCTTGAAATGAAAATTTGGGTGATGATTGTTTGAGCTATAAAAAAATGGGGTTACAATAGTAATAATGAAACGATACGTGTTAATAGCCGTTGGTTAATAACTTAACGTATAGGTAGTAAGTATTTTGTGTTTAGAAGTACTAAAGTAATGAACGTTGTAGAAATGTTAACATTGGTATTAGTTTTGGTTTAAATTATGAAATCAATTTACAATTATGCCGGTAACCTGTCCATATGTGATTTCCGATTGCCTCTGTGTTAGTAGGCTAACTGAAGGAACAAAAGTATACCGTGGAGAACAATTCCAACTAGTGTTCCAGTTAGTTTGATACGGTTTTCTAGTTACGAGGACATTTTCTCAACCTCATTTTTACTTGACCGTGATAGAATTTATTAATACTAATAATATACATGAATGGTTATCAAAACAAAATTTAAATACGTGAGTGATAATTATGTACATTTTGAACAGATAGCTATATTTATCCTTGCCGGCTGATTGGGCATACAAGTCAGTTGCAAGTACGCGGTTTATCATAAAGCGGAATACGATTTAATTGAAATACAGTGGTTATAAGTTATTGAAACCAGTTAAGCCTATGTCATATTACTAAGTGATGTGGTGCTGCAAGATGTATTTGGCTAAATAAGTTTTTACAAGATGATTAATAGTGAGTGATGCTCATGTGATTATCAGGGAGAACATAAGTTGTAACCGAGGGGAGTACACTCCCAACTCATGTCTATGATAATTGCTTGAACCTTAGTCAGTGTTGGGGTAAATTCGACATTGATGCTTTCAGTTTGCAGGAGATTTGCTCGACTGCTTATACTGATTATTTGCATGCATGATTGTGTCGCTAAACCATCAATAAGACTGACAAGGTTTTGAGATATTTACTGAATGAGCAACTGATAGAGAAACATACTGCAATCATCTGTAGTGAATGAAGACAAAAGAAAAACAACACTAGTGATAATTATAAGTCAATTTACTGACCGATTTTGTTAATAGTTTCATTAATTTTATCAATCATATTACGTGACTGTCAAGTCATGACAATGCTTTATGACGATATCCTGAAACTATTACGTTTAACTAGTTATAATG